TGTTTCAGCCCCTCCCATTTGAATCTCTTTGGCATATGGATTCTACTTTACCTTTTTTTTGCGACTGTAACCTGTAACTCACAGGATCGCACTCCAGTCGTGGCTGACTTTGATTTGGCTCGCGTCATTATGGAGTGGAAAGCACACGAGTGCATGGACTTGGGAGACACGGGCTACATTGACCGAAACTATCTTGAGACGGGCAAAATATACCCGGAGTCTGACACACACGCGTTTGGTGTGTTTCTTTTGGAGCTAGTCTTTGGATACCCTCCCCGCGACATAAAGTTTGAAGAGCTGAGAAACGAGATCAGCCAAAAGGATTTCGAAAACCCTTCGATGGTTGCAGACCATACTATGGAGGGGCAATGGGATAAGGAGGATGTTCTTCGAATCATTGATATGGCTCGCTCGGCCACATCCCGTGAATTGCGTGCGCGCCCAGCAATGGGGGATTTAGTAGAACTACTTAGGGGAATTTGGAGCAAAGTCTGAACTTTGGATAGGATGGGCTGCTTGCTATGATAAAGACGAACAAAACAAAAAGGGTTCAAGCTTTTGTGCTTTATTGATGTTGCCCAAACTAGCACCTTTCTCAAAGTTTATCCCATCTGTGTAGCAGATTAGCAGGCTCCGCAGCTTTACAGAACAGAGGGGCAATGGGGGAAATCCTCCGACCAGATCATTCGACTGGGCTGATTTTTACCAAGAGAATTTCAGAACCATAATTCAATGAAAGCATTTAGAAAGCTTGCTTTCTTTTACTTATCATTTGACATCGTTCTCATTTCAACTGGCACATTACAACATGCACCTCGAGCTAGACAATATAAGCGCTAGTACATGTCCTGATACCTTCTATCAATCATTTGTCAAGCTATCAATCCTAATAGGTGTAAGCTAACCCACATTGTACCACTTGTGTCCTCCTGTGTAAGCGGCGGACTTGATGTCCATCGGTGTTGGGGCGGGGGGTGGGAGAGTTGCATGAGCCGTTTGAAAAATGAGAGACGTGGGTGGAGGGAAATGAACTCCAACCCACGATTTGTAGTTGGAGAAGGGCGTTTAGCGCGCTTCGAAGATGTCAAATTCACGTTACAGTCAGCTGCGCTTTCGAAATACGTAATTTTAAAAAACACTATGTGTGTTTAAAAATTATCATGTTACCGTATCGCTCCCTCATACGCGCAGTGTCCATGTCCTTGTGTTTTCTTCGAGGCACGCTTGCCTATGCACAAATGTGATGGAAAGGCTGTCGCCATGGCCAACCGCTACAATAGCTAACCTTCCCTTCTAGCAACGCATCAAACCAGCAGCTGCTACAAACTCATTAAACAGCTGCACTTATACCGTATGTAATCCAACATCTGCTCTGCACTCAAACATAGCAAATATTGCAACACTCAAACTTAGAACGCAGACACCTTCACCACTCGGCATGTGTCAAACTTCATAATAAACCACCCGCAACAACACAATCGTTTTCCCCTTCCCTCCCTTTCTCCTCCTTCTCCTCCGCTCCTTACTCTTCGTTCCTTCCCGCGACTTTGCCACCCTTCATCCTACTCTCCTCACCTATGCTTTCAAGCCTGTCCTTGCACCTGCCCATGCACCTGCCTATGCAACCGACTTCGCCAATCATCTTTCCACCATTCACCCATCTTTCCTTACCACCACTGTCGTCACTACCCTCACAACCACTCTCCTTGCCGATTTTCTCGCAGCCATCTCGGTTCCCATCATTCCCACGCCTCTTCCCGCTGGTCCTGCCGGGGCATGTGAGCTTGTGGGAGAACCAGTGCGCCTTTTGGCAGTCTCTGCTGCAATACCTCACCTTTCCACACCCATCGCAACTCCTCAGCTTCACACTGCCACCACCCTCCGCCCTCACACACCCCGCAGCACCGCACACACGGCCTTGGACATCTGAAACAGCAGAAGCAGCAGGAACAGCAGCAGCAGCAGCAGCAGCAACAAGGATGCTCGTTAAAGTGGGGGTGGGCGAGGCAGCAGGATGAGACACCACAGCAGCAGCATGGGTGGAAGGAGCAGCACAGGTGGACGTGCCGGCAGGAGAAGCAGCAGGGGAGGCAGGGCGAAAGCAGGGCTCCCCCAGCAGCATCTCTCGCAGACAAGCAACCAGGTTGACCCCCCCGGCCATGCCTTCAGATACGCCAGCTCCTCCCCTTCTTGCCTTTCTTCTCACTTCTGCTGGTGCTCGTGCTGGTGCTGGTGCTGGTGCTGGTGCTGGTGCTGCTGCTGCTGCTGCTGCTGCTGCTGCTGCTGCTGCTGCTGCTGCCACCCATCCACTCACAATTGCTGCTGCTGCTGCTGCCAGTGCTTCTCTCCCTGGCACACCCACGCTGCACTTGCAACCCCTCACAGTACCTCGGGACAATTGCTGCCTTAAGAAACCACGAAATGTCCCACCCTCTTGCCGGCCTCTCCTGCTTCCTGCTGCCTCTGCACTCCTCGCTCTCTCCCTCGCCCCCCCCGTCAAACCTCCACGCTGCCATCACCGCGGAATACCACATCAGCACCTCCTCCCACACCTCTCCACCGTTCTCCTGTCCCTCCCCACCATCCAAGCACCTTTCCACCTTCATCCTCCCACCTGCACCATCTTTCCCTTTTCCCCCGCATCCCCGCTCGACCAAATCGCTTTTTGTAAGAGCATGAGCGTGTCAAAGGTCCACTGGAGATCCCCGATTGATCCTAGGGAAGGGTTACAGACACGTTGGCCTGGGGGGTTATGGGCGCACTCACCTGCTACACAAACAAGCCCTTTTATCCCAGTGGTTAGTGACTGGGATTCTGACATGGTATCAGAGCGAAGGTCTCGGGTTCGATTCCCGGTGTGTGCACTTCGGGCATCCCAGTGCGGGGGGGTGTCAGAGGTCCACTGGAGATCCCCGATGATCCTAGGGAAGGGTTACAGACATGTTGGCCTTGGGGGTTATGGGCGCACTCACCCGCTACACAAACAAGCCCTTTTATCCCAGTGGTTAGTGACTGAGATTCTGACAGAGCGCACCACACAGCCATGTGAATGAGGAAGTAAAGAGGCACCTGTTCGGCGCGCTCCAGCAGCATACCCACATTCACAGGCCTGGGCAAGCGAGCAGGGCGGTCCAGACACTCCACCAGCTTGACAAACTCAGGAGAGCCCGGCGGAAACGTCGAGAGAACCAGGGAGAACAAGTGACTAACGGGGCGATAGGCAAAGTTGGCAATGACAGCGACAGTGGATGCAAAAGCCAGGAAGTTTGTGGTGCAGCGGGTGCAGTCGGTGCATGCGGGAGGGTCCATTAGATACCCGGCTAGTCCCATCAGCAAGTCTATGTCTGCCTGGCAGCGCACGATAGGAAGCTTGCTTCTGGCGGGCGGTAGTGTCACTCTCTGCTCGCTAGTTTGATGTGCTTTGGCTTTCCCACTAAACCCTTGCCCTGCTCTGCTCGCTTCGGTTTCCACACTGGATCCGTGCCCTGGTGCCTTACATCCTTTTCCCCTTGCGCTCATGTTGTTCCCTCCTGCTTCAGATGCGTGCTGAGAAGGAAGAGGCGGGGTCCGCTTCTCTGCTGGTCCATCGCATTCCTCCACAATCCCAAGCCCAAAACATTGCTCTTTCGGGTTGATAGGAAACTTCACAGCAGCTTCATCGCCCCGAGGCCACTCCTCCCACTCCAACAGAACATTGCTTCCCTCCAGAGGCTTGGGAATGGCGCCAAACCTGACCAGCAGACTCGGAAGGTCCCGAAGCGGGTGGCGCATAACCCGTACCTTACTCTGATCACCGTCCTTCAAGCACTGTTTCTCAGAGATAGAATCTGGGCCGTAGGTTCGGACCCACTGCAAGATGCAACGTACCCGATAGGTGAAGGCAGCAACCACAAAATTCGTGTTCACTGGCACAAGTCTTCTGGCCGGCACTAGCCTTTTGACAGGCACGAGCCTAGCATTTGCGGCCATGGCTGTCGCAGGCTGAAGTGGCTGAGGGGGCTGAGGGGGCTGAGGGGGCTGAAGTGGCTGAGGGGGCTGAGGGGGCTGAGGGGGCTGAAGTGGCTGAGGGGGCTGAGGGGGCTGAGGGGGCTGAGGGGGTTGAGGGGGCTGAGGGGGCTGAGGGGGCTGAAGTGGCTGAGGGGGCTGAGGGGGCTGAGGGGGCTGAGGGGGCTGAGGGGGTTGAGGGGGCTGAGCTGCTCCCACACCTGCCCCTTCTCCTCCATCCATCCCCCTTTTCTGCAGCAGCGTCCTTCTAGCCACCTGAATAGCTGCTCTCTCTACCTGCATCTTGCTCTTTGAGTTCGCATTGTAAAAGAACATCTCTGCCTCCTGCCAGTGCTCTGGTTGTAGCATCGCTGTGGTGACAGCGAGGGCAAAATTGGTCGCACCTACACCACTCACGTGCATGCCCTTGGGAGGACCACTGCTCTTACTGATAGCCCCAAAAACAGACTCATCACTCGCTGGTGACAGCGAGGGCAAAATCGGTCGCACCTACACCATTCACTGGAATGCCCTTGGGAGCACCGCTGCTCCTACTGCTGGCCCCAGAACCGCTGAAGTTGCTGCTGCTGCTGCTGCTGCTGCTGCTGCCCCCTTCACTGCAATGGCTGCACTGGAAATTCCTCCCTTCCCCCCCTCCATGCTCCAATATCCAAGCCATGCCATCCACATACCTCCTCCATATGGGCCCTTTTGCATTCTCCCTCCACTTCATTTCTTTCCTTACCCTCCTGCACTTCCCAGCAACCTTTTGTACCTCTAACTTGCTCACTCCCTCCTTCCAGAGCCTCTCATCGTGCTCCAGCCCCCCATGCCTCCCTGTCTCCTCTTCAGTACCTTTTCCCACACCCTTAGATTCCCTGTCTTCTCCCCTCCCCTCTCCATGCACCTTCTCCAGCCCTCCTGACAGCACATGCTGCAAGTAAAACCCAAACCCTTCCTTCAAATCAGCACTCTCCTTCACCCCAAGCACCTGAACCAGCATGGAAGCAAAGCAGTCACTCTCCACCTGCCTGCCCGCCCCTAGCTCGGCCAGAATAGCTGGCCAGGCGGCCAAATGCGAGTACTTATGAGCCCTCCATAGAGTCACAATGTGGGAAGACCTCGCTACAAGAACAAGGTATGTTGCGAAGTTGACGGCACGGCGGTAGGCAGCCCAGCAACTGCTGCAGCGCCAGCAGCAGGACCAAGCTGCGGATGCAGCAGATGCGTTCTTGACTCCTGCTGCTGCGTCTGCTCCAGCTACTGCTGCTGCTCTAGCTACTGTTGCACCTGCTGCAGCTTCCGCAATACCCAGAATGGATGGCAGGCGGGATCGGATCCTCCCCAGGTCCATGGGCACGCCCACATGAAGCTCAGCGACCTTCTGAGGATTCTCAAAAGTGACTCCTAGAATGGATGGCAGGCGGGACCTGATCCTCTCAAGGTCCATGAGCACGCCCACACGAGGCTCAGCCATCCACTCGAGCAGCATGGCTTCCGCACAGAAGTGAGGCGCCCACTCCATCTTCCATACAACCTCCTCCTGTGGCGATATTCTGCGCCCCCCTCGTAGCACACGAAGCTCCGCTGCTCCACTAAGGCACTTCAAATTCGCCTGCTGCTGCTGCTGCTGCTGCTGCTGCTGCTGCTTGGGTGCTGCGGCGGGAATGCAATCCGGCTGGGGTCTGCTCAGGTGGCGGCCACGTACGTCCCTCATGCTCTTTATACCAAGTGCTTGCTGTGCTCGCTTGCTTAACGCACGGTCTAAGCAGCACTCGCATACATCCGCATCCCATGCACTCGTCACATCCAAATAGTGAACCATGCCCGCCCGCGACAGCACCTGACGCGGCTTCGGGATATTCTCAGCTCTTGCTTTCTCTGCTGCTGCTCCGTTTGCCACATCAGGCTGGCCCAATTCACCCTGGCTGATTTGAACTCCAGAGCAAGGTCTCAACTGCTGCAGCATCACATCAGTCTTCACCCGCTCTTCCAACTTTGGAAGGGACCGTGGCAAGTGTGCTTCTCTCACAGCATGGTCCTCTTCCTCTTCCTCTTCTTCTTCAACCTCCTCTTCTTCTCCCTCTTCCTCTCCCTCTTCCTCTTCTTCTCCCTCTTCCTCTCCCTCTTCCTCTTCTTCTCCCTCTTCTTCTCCCTCTTCCTCTCCCTCTTCCTCTTCTTCTCCCTCTTCCTCTCCCTCTTCCTCTCCCTCTCCCTCTTCCTCTTCCGCTTCCTCTTCCGCTTGCTCTCCTACCCCTCCATTTGCCCCACTGCACTGACCACGTCCACCTTGCTCGTTCTCAAAAAACCGCAGCCGCGCATCCATACTCTTTCCCTGCTCTTCCAAATCCTGAAAGGTACGTGGCAAGCGTGCTTCCCTCAGAGCATAGTCCTCTTTCACTTTGTCCTCTTCCTCTTCCGCTTGCTCTTCCGTTTGCTCTCCTACCCCTCCTCCGTTTGCCACAGTGCTCTGATCAAGTCCACTTTGCTCCTTCTGAAGTGTCTTCAGCCAGGCATCCATAATCTTCCCCCGCTCTTCCAACTTATGAAGCCGTAACAAGTGTGCGACGTTCACATCAACTATCTCTTCCTCTTCCTTTCCCCTGCTACTGCCAGCGTCAGAATCGAGGCACTTCAGCTCTGCTCCTCCAAGGCGAGAAACTGCAGTTGCAGTTGCAGATGCAGGAGCAGGAGCATTCCGGAATGGCTGGACCTTCTGCTCGCCCTTGTCCCTTCGATTTCGAGCTACTTTTTCAATTGAATCCACGATGATGGTTGTACCCGCTTTAAGCTTGGTTTGCTCAACGGTCAAGTCAGCAGAAAGGCGCACTTGCGGCCCAACACCCACAGCCGTGAACCCAATATCGAATTCTTGCTCCACCGATTTCAACCTGTCTCGACCTCTCCGCTGCTGACGTGTCTCGTGTGGCTGGCAGCAGTTGGGCGAATGGGACTCAATCAGTCTGCTGAAAACCGAAGACATAAGTTCGTGAGAAGCTACAGTAAGAGAGACGTCCGCGTGTGCTGCAGTTGGCTTGATTCCAGAACTATTGTTGCCGAAAGGAGGGTCTTTATCCGTGACGCTTCCTGCGGACTCGCCAATTCTATTCCGGCGGCTGTTACATCCACGGTTTCTCAGACAGCCTGGCATTTTAAATTTGATATCGAAATCCATGTCGGATGCTGCAATATTCTGATCGAAGTCGCTAACTATCAGCCGAACCACCCACTGACTCGTAGATCAAATCCGTTGGTCGTACTGGAAACGGAAAGGCCACAGCAGATTTTCTTGTGTCAATGACTCAAGACCAAGGAGGCTATGTGATCGCCGAGTAAGCTAAGGCTGTGAGACCAATGGGACGGGATATTCTCATCAGGCAACGCTGTCCCAACCACGCTGTCCGATTCATGCGACGCCTCTCCATTGCACGAACCGAGCGAAACCTTCTGAATTGTGCACATCGTTCTGGAGAAGCATCAAGCCATCCCATCATGGTCAGTCGTATGGGAAACATCAGTGCTAGACGACTCGTTCTTATCACAGTTGTCAAGATCAGCCCAGGACTGTCGATGCGTCGCCTAAACAAATTGGATATTACCGTGGAAAAAAAAAAAGAACAAGCCGAGTCAGAAAGTCACTGGGCAAGCGAAATCGGACCGTCCGTTTCCGCACAAGCCTTATCGGGTGTAGGGTAATACTCGGCGAAGTGTCAGCTGAGGGCGTATCCAGGTTCGGGTCATGAGCACTGTTCCGGGCATGCGCGATTTGCGGATGACCCAAACAACATAAAACGCATGTTTGGGTCATGCGACCCCCAAATTGCCGCGAGTGATTTCGCGCTAAAATCAAGCTCCCCACAGCAATCGCATCCAATGGTTGGATGCCAGAACATTTCGTCAAAATGTGCAATTCGTCAAAATCAAGCTCCCCACATCAGTCGCAACCAAACACAACCGTCAAAATTCCCGGAGTGATTCCCAAATGTTGGGAGCGCAACGCGAGAATTTCTAGACACACTCGGGGTCAATTTACGGAGTGGTTGGGTGTAGAGATGTAAGACGTGGTACATTGCCCACGTGTGACACTCAACTGACGATCGCAAAAAAGATGGCAGTAAAACCATAATTGTGCAACCAGGTGATTGGCTGTGGCTGGGTCGTGCACGTCAGTCGCACAACACCTGCACATTGACCCAAAGCTGGGGCCGCGCGCGGCTCGGCAGCCCACTTCGGGTCATGAACAGTAGCCAGATCAGTGCTCATGACCCGAACATGGATACGCCCTGAGGTGTCTCTAGAACAACCTAGATTCTTGTTCAAAGCCCAGCGATATTGCTGCTGTCTTGGGTGTGTCGAGCAAGTCCCTCCCACTTCGCCGACAGTGGGCCTGGAAGACCCACGTGTCAAATCAAATGTCCGTCAGTGCTTCCGCGATTGAAGACGCTTCGGATATTTAGCGGTTGCGTAGTGGTGTTGGCTGGAAAGAGATTTCTACAAACTATTCCAGTCTAGCGTGTACATGATACGAATTCACCCTTAAAACACCTTAATCTCCTGTGTATGACATCTTAGTGTGCTTTGAACAAACGCAAAAAGCATGAGGTAGGTGTTATTACTGCCCAGTATTTTGGTCCCTCTCCAAATTACGATGGTTCACTGCGCACACCCATGGTTCTCCCAATATGCTACTGCTATCCCTCCTGGTACCCCTCTCCCATGCACTAAATACTAGGCACAGAAACCAGCTGGCTCTATTATAAAGCAATACCAGTGCAACACATGTTGTACACTTTTAGCATGGTAATAGCGGACCTTTGCGGCAACTCAAGAGAAGCGCACGTTCTACTCCTATCATATGGAATGATCGTTGAGCTGCTGAACAAACTCCCGCATCGCACGGGACACCTCAGCACCGAAGTCAAAGGGGCCATCAGAAGCAAACACTCCAATTTCCGTGTCGATGCCAGAAACCTCCGCGCTCACCTGCGCCCCGAACATCTCCTGCTTTAACTTAACCAGCTCGGCCAGCACTAGGAGCATGGAGGGACGGGAGGCCCCAGGCAGGGCAGTGCAGGAGAGGGCAAGGCGAGCCCAGCGCAGCACCACATCATCCGGTGCTTCCAAACGAGGGTCCTTGAGTTCTGTCACTGCTCCCGAGTCCACCAGAGGGGTTATCTGCCAAGTTGAAAGGGTATGGCATACAGAAAAGCATTTTAACATCAAGAGCGTTACATGAAGAGAAAATCTGTCAACACACCAGTGTAAGAGTATATAGGTGACAGAAAAACGGTGTATAAGACGGGATTATTGACAAGGAGGGTATAGACACATGGGATAGGTGAGTAGTTTGAAATAAGGGTTTGGTTTGAAAGAACATGCGCTAGGCAGAGGATCAACAAGGTAGACAGCAGTAGGATTGCAAAGCTGATTGCGTGACAGGTGCAGGGTGAAAGATATCATCGTGATACTCACCTTGCCCAATACGGCACGTGTCTTGTGGAGAAAGGAAGAGAGGACCACAAAAAAAAAACCAGCCTACACTTTTCTGGTCAAGGTGGTAGGCAAGTAAACCTATTTATTGTGTGCAGTTTCGGTAAGCACTTGCACTTATGAAATGGTGCCCCATTTGCTAAGCCTCACCGTTGTGAGGTATGCCTCACCCATCTCTTGATATTGGCGTGGTCGTCCTCTATAACAAGCACAGCCTTGTGCCCCATAAGAACCACCAGCATCACCACGCCAAAACTGCAATCAATGCAGCAAAAAAAGACACCATCCGTGAAACAATGTTCTCGAGTGACACCTCTAAAAGATACATTGGACAGCCTTTTGAGACATCTCAAAACACTGCTATTATCACGTGGCCTCTAGAAGATGTGTCGAACAGTCTTCATAGAAGAAATCATCATTGATAACCACTTGTGGTTGTGAAGAAGATAAAACCCTCTTCACGACCACTTGCCCCAAACCCCCCTCGTTTAGTGGCAGAGAATTTCAGAGCTTGTGATTGGTCAGGCATGGCAATGCGTGCCTCAAATGTTAGACGTGAATAGCCACTATGAAACGAGGCAAAACAACATGGTAAAGGAAAACACACACACACACGCATGCACGCATGCATGCACGCACGCACACACGCACGCACGCACGCACGCACACGCGCGTGCGCGCGCGCACACACACACACACACACACGCATACACACAAAGTTCTCACAAACGTAAGATGCCTGTTGGACAATTATTTTGTACCAATCTGCTCACCTGTAACAATCTTCTGACCTGCACCAATGTGCTTACCTGTGCTATGCCAATCTACTCACCTGTAAACATCGACAACAGGAGAAAGGGCTCCGGTATTCAGGGTCCATATAGCTCCGTATTCCCACCACTCTTGTTAACTACCTTACAGGCAAATGCCGGCTGGAACCACTCTGCACCGCTTCGTACCTGTACACATCGACAGAAGGAGTAGCCTTGTAAGAGCTGCGATATTCAGGGTCCATATAGCCCCGCGTTCCCACCAGTCGAGTGGCAGCCTCCGATGTGGCCATAGATGTCCCTCCAAGCAGCTTCACAAGCCCAAAGTCTGCAACCTTTGCCTGCCCATCATCACCCACATCAGCATCATCATGCCCATCATCACCCACATCAGCATCATCATGCAATATGAATCTAGTTTTGAGGCGCCTCGCTACCACACAGCTTCAAGCGACCAATGTCGGTGACCTTTGCCTGCCCATCATCAACCACAACAGCATCATCACACAACAGGAGGTTAGGTGACGTGATTCTATACTGGGCTGTTCAAAACATCACACGATGGTTGAAAAGACGAACAAAGCAGATGAACAGCACCTTCTTTCACAGGCAACCCGGCTTTGATGTTTTGAGCATGCCTGCATTTTTCCATCAAGGAGAATGTTGGCCGGCTTGATGTCCCGATGAACGATGCGAAAGTCGTGAAGATACTGCAACCCCTTGGCCACTCCAATCAGAACGTCCAGCCTTTGTTGCAGCGAGAGAGGGTTGGAGACACCGGGGCCGATCCAACAGTCAAGGTCGCCGTTGGGCATGAGCTCATAGACAAGAAGCTGCTCCATGGTTCGTGTGGACGGGTCAAAGTCGATGCAATAGCCCAACAGACGCACGAGATGTGGATGGTGCTTGCTTGCCATCTCTTTCACCTGAGGGGGAAAAGTGGAGGTGAACAGCAAATGAAAATCAACGGGAAAACCAACAAGGAGAAAAGCGAAGAAAAATGTGAAGGAGAATGAATCATCCATCCAACTAGCAGTCCATGTTGGACGTTGGGATAGAAAACTGGCAAGTAACAAGGTACAAAGAAGAACGTGGTACCAACACTAACGTAGTACCAACAAATAACGTGGTACCAACACTAACGTGGTACCAACACTAACGTGGTACCAACCAACAAACTCACAATATGTTACCAGATACCTCTATCTGGAAGTCATTTGTGAGAACTCGAGCTCGTTTGACTGCCCAAGCTTGATTGCCATTGTGAGGAGAAACTCCCTTGTAGACATCCCCAAAGCCGCCACTTCCTATCCTGTTCCCCTCTGCCCACCCTCCTGTGGCCTCGGTTAGCTCTGCCAAGGAGTATTCTCGACACGCATATGGCTGTGCTGCATCCATCTCCACCACAACCCCACCACGCTGCCCTCTTCGTGCTGCTGCAGGAGCACCTACTGCCGCACCTTCTGCTGCTGCTGATGGTGGTGTTGCTGCTGCAGGAGCTGCTGCCAGCCGTTCTGCTGCTGCTGCGGCTGCTGCCGCACCTTCTGCTGCTGATGGTGGTGCCGATGCAACAGCTGCTTCCGGCCCTTCTGCTGCTGATGACGGTGGTGGTGCTGCAGCTGCTGCATCAGCTGCTGCTGCACCTCCTGCTACTGCTGACGGTGGTTTTGCTGTTGCTTCTGCTGCTGCTGCAACCGTTGAAGCAGCTGTTGCCGCACCTTCTGCTGCTGCTGAACCTTCCTCCTCACAGCGGGCTTCTGTAAAGGCACAAAGGAGAGGGGTAGAAAGAGGGGAAAAAACATAGAGCAGGTAAGGGGCCTGGAATACCCACCGCTCCTTATTCTAGTACACTAACCGGCCAGGAATGAAGGACCAGCACCCACCACTCATTAGGGGACAAATGTTGCCACATTGGGATCATGTTGCCACAATGGGATCATTTGCTACTTTGGGATCACTTGCTACATTGGGATCTGTTGTCACGATGGGATCATGTTGCCAACATGATACCAATGTAGCAACATGATCCCGATGTGGCAACATGATCCCGATGTGGCAACATCATCTCACTATGGCAACATGATTTCATCGTGGCAACGTGATGTCATCGTGACAACATGATCCCATCGTGGCAACATGATTTCATCGTGACAACATGATCCGATAGTGGCAACATGATCCCAATGAGGTCGACCAGATTCACCATCGGATCGACCCGACCTGCCCCCGGGTCACAACCAAACTGACCCGTCCGGGTCAAGTCAGCTTTTTTAGGTCCTTACCCAAGTCAAATCAAATCAAGGACTCCAGGACGGTTCGATCCACTGCTCATGTCTATTTTCACCTGAGCCTCCCGCTCTCATAGTAATTTTGCAGTATGTTTAATCGCCATTTTCTTAGCCACTGCCTGGTGGCGGAGCATAGCTCTTCCACGTCAGTTGTCCGCCCCTCCCTCATAACATTTTTAAACAACATACGTCAACTAGCTTTTGAGGCTGCTGGGCTGTTGGACGTACCTTCCAACCACAATTAGTGGTTGAATTTTTGTTCGGTTTCCAGCTTATTGGACCTCCAATCATGTTGGTCAACACCCAGCCAACAACTATTGGAATTGCAATACTGGTGGCCAGCCCAACCAGCCAATATTGGGGCCTCTCATACTTGTTAGCCAAGCCAACACATAGCTTCTCTCACTGCCCAAGTATACCTCGGATCATTCGAGCTAAATTGCTACAATTTCTCGCTTACTGACCCTCATCTTTTAGGGATTGGTGCTGATACTCGACGTGAAGATTGCTCATCGCGTCCTCCTCGTCCTCCTCGCCCTCCTTGCCCTTCTCGCCCTCCTCGCCCTCCTCTCCCTCCTCGTCCTCCTCTCCCTCCTCGTCCTCCTCTCCCTCCTCGTGCTCCTCGTGCTCCTCGCCCATCGTGGCCCTCGCGTCCAGAGATGACTTTTGATTCCTCTCAAAAGTCATTGCAGTCATCGCATCCAGCTCATCCATTGCATCCATCTCAAGAAACATCTTGCAAACGTTGATGCTCAGCTCTTTCACGGCCTGGGAGGACAAGAGTGGGGAGGGTGGATGGAACGGGGGGAAAGGAAGGGGGGAAAGTGGTCCGAACGAGGAGGAAGGGAAATGGAGGAGTGGAAGAAAGGAAGGGGGGACGGGATGGGGGGGAGGAGAGAGAGGCATGGAGGCGATGAGGGCGAGGAGATGGAGAGAGGATGGAGAGGAGAGGGTGAAAAGAGAGGAGTGAGAGCAGCATGCATGCCTCGATTTTTTAGGCGCATCAAAAGCAGCACAGCACTCATGCATTGGGCAGGAGAGAATTGGCTGCTAGCATTCATTGTAAGCATCTCTGGCCACTTGACCATCTCCAGAAACATCTCTCTCCATTCACAGTCGTGTTTTGAGTCGACACAAAACAACACATGTCCAGAACAGAAACATCTCTCTCCGTTCCTAGTATGCGCATTGTGAAGACAAGAGACGAAGGAGGGGAAGATGAAGAAGAGTGAGGGGCGAGAGGAGGGGGAGAGGAGAGAGAGGTGGGGGAGAGGAGGGAGAGGAGGGAGGAGGGGGGAGAGGAGGGGGGAGGAGAGGAAAAGGAAGGGAGAGGGGAGAGAGAGGACGGGGAGAGGAGAGAGTGGGGGGGGAGAGGAGAGAGTGGGGGGGGAGAGGAGAGAGTGGGGGGGGAGAGGAGAGAGTGGGGGGGGAGAGGAGAGAGTGGGGGGGAGAGGAGAGAGTGGAGAGGGAGACGGGGATGAGAAGAGTGGGAGAGGACGGAGAAGAGGTGGGAATTTGAGGGTGAGCAGTGTGAGAGAGGATGAAGAAGAGGTGGGATATGTAGGTGACGGGGAATGAGATGCAATGGGAGAGGGTCAAGTTGACAAAGGCAGGCTCATAATAAGCTTACATGTCAACAGCCACACCGGTGGCAAGATGATGAAGTAATGAAGAACGTGAAAGGCACAGACCAAAAATGCCTCAGCAACCCCATGAGATGAGAGTACAAGTGCACATGGATGTTAATTCATTGCAGGGAGCCTTGATTGGACAACGACATTTTCCATGTCACGTAAATTTGGCCGACCAGGTAAAGATTAACTTAATGTGATTCACTTGCACCATTGCCTTTCAAAGGCAAGCCGGTTATTCTATTAGAGCGAGATCACTGATGCCTCCAGTGGTTACAGCGTGGGCTACAGCCTGTGCAAACAAACAGCCAAGGCCTACACACACTGCACTTGCAGTAGCCCTCGAACCACCGCTCGTTTCAGTTCAAAAGCAATCAATCAGCACTACAACCACTCGCCACACTCTACCTGGTTCTAGTGGCTTCAGTTCGTGCTACAGCCACAGCCACACCTTAGAGGCAAACCAAGCATTACACAGGGCTCCATGCCCATACCATCACCACAACACATTTTGAAGCGCCTCAAAACAGGAGACAACGTTTGAGGCGCCTGAAAAAACACTTCAGCCACAATTCAGCCACACTGTAGAAGCAATCCAACCACTACACAGGGCTCCATGCCCACACCATCATACCAGTTACTTATGTCTTTAGTCACACCATTACAGCCACACACCATCAGCACTACAACCACTGCCCACACTATACCTGGTCCCAGTGACTTTCAGCGTGGCCCACAGCAATACCCACACTATACCTGGTCCCAGTGACTTTCAGCGTGGCCCATAGCAATACCCACACTATACCTGGTCCCAGTGACTTTCAGCGTTGCGCTGGAGGGCAGTGGAGAGGAGCGGCAGGATGGTGGCGCGGTTCTGAGCCACGAGCGTCACAATGTAGTCGTTGTTCCACAGGCGCAACGCACGCTCCGCCACCTGAAGGCATGGCAGAAGGAAGAGGGTGGAGGGAAAGACATAAGAGTTCTGTGCCACAAGCGCCACGATGTAATCATTACATTGTCCCACAGGTGCAGTGTGCGGCGTGCGCTCTGCCACCTGTGTGCACGCAGAACACACATGGGGCATGGCATAAGCGACGTGCATGTCTCAGCTCTGTGCCACGAGTGTCACGATGGAGTCGTTGTTCCACAGGAGCAGCGTGCGCTCCACCACCTGAAGGCAGAAGGGGGGGGGGGGGGGTTGCGTTGGGGAGGGGAGGGGAGAGGGTGGAGGGAGAGGCATAAGAGTTCTGAGACACGAGCGTCAAGAAATAGTCGTTGTTCCACAGGAAAAGCGTGTGCTCAGCCACCTGCGGGGGGAGGAAGGGGGACGGGGGTGAGAAGAGGGGGGAGTGGGGGGATGGCGGCGGGGACATGGGATGGGATGTGAGACGTGACATGGGATGTGATGTGAGACGTGACATATGGGCAACAAACATATTGGTTGGTTCTGTGCCACCGGCATCACAATGCAGTCGCTGTTCAACTGGAACACCTCGCCACCTGTGTGCATGCATGACATATGGGGCATGACATATGGGGCATGACATATGGGGCATGACATATGAGGCATGACATATGGGGCATGACATATGGGGCATGACATATGGGGCGTGACATATGAGGCATGACATATGGGCCATGAAATATGGGGCATGACATATGGGGCATAACATATGGGGCATGGCATATGGGGCATGACATATGGGGCATGACATATGGGGCATGGCATATGAGGCATGACATATGGGGCATGCCATATGGGGCATGGCATATGGGGCATGGCATATGAGGCATGCCATATGGGGCATGACATATGTTATGGGGCATGACAAATGGGGCATGACATATGGGGCATGACATATGGGGCATGACATATGGGGAATGACAAATGGGGCATGACATATGGGGCATGACATATGGGGCATGACATATGAGGCATGACATATGGGGCATGACATATGGGGCATGACATATGGGGCATGACATATGGGGCATGACATATGGGCCATGAAATATGGGGCATGACATAGGGGCATGACATATGAGGCATGACATATGGGGCATGACATATGGGGCATGACATATGGGGCATGACAAATGAAGCATCGCACAGGGTACACGCATGGACACGTTCTGAGCAACCAGCACCACCGTCTGGTCATTGAACTACACTACAGAAAATCACCATGTACTCTACAGCAACGTTGACCGCATGTACTGCACAGCCTTGAGGGGAAGATCTATATCCACATAACTTAAAGATAGGACAACACATGTCGTCCTTATCAAACGGTCATGCATATGGGCCAATACCTGGATACCACACAGACATGGGAAGCCGTGAGGGGGGACAGGGGAAGGGCGGGGCGAAGGGCGGGATGAAATTGGTCATTATAAAATCTGTGTAAGGCGATGCGGGCACAGGCAGAAGGGTGACCGGGGAAGCAGACACAAGCAGTCACAACCCTAAACCACCATTCTAAACTTGGAATGTCAAACTTGGAATGTCAAACTTGGTGGAATGTCAGACTTGGAATGCCAAACTTGGATTGGAATGTTAAGGATTGGAATGTTAAACTTGAAATGCCAAACTTGGAATGCCAACTTGGAATGCCAACTTGGAATGTCATACGCTGGAACAGCAACACCACAACTATAGTAACATCTCGCGCTCTTAAAAAAAGATGAATAGCACCCCATCACACCATATTACACCGCATCATACCATACCAGAACTGAAATTGGGAGGGAGCGTCAAACCTGGAAGTGCGAGGAGCCGAGGCAGCACGCGATCTGCTGGAACAGCGGCATCATGACTGTCAGGAACTCGGGCGTCTGCGCGAAAATGCATGCCACGGCAACCCCTCACATCTCCTCACACCTCCTCTCACCCCATCGCATCCCCTCACACCTCATCACCGTATCACATCCCCTCGCACTGCACCACACCACGACACAACCCTGGACACAGACGATCATACCATACCTGGAAGTGCGGGGATTTGAGGCAGCGTGCGATCTGCTGAAACAGCGGCGTCATGACCGCATCACACCATATTACACCGCATCACACCGTACCTGTAATTGGGTGGGAGCGTCGTGCAAGGAGCTGTAACATCGTGTGTGATCATGATGACCAGTGGCTTCTTCATGAAAATGCATGCCATGACACTCACTCGCACCTCCTCACACCTCCTAACACCTCGCCACACCCTCTCAAACCCGACCACCATATCACATCCCACATACCACATCACACCCAAACACACCCCATCCCATCGTACCGCGGAGTGTGGGGAGCTGAGGCAGCGAGCGATCTGCTGGAACAGCGGCGTCATGACCATCTGAAACTCCGGCGCCTGCGTGAGCTCCAGAATCTCCTCCAACTCCCCCAGGAACAGCACCTCCTTCTGACTATTAGTTAAGGGCCAGAACTCAAGCAACCCGCGCAGCACCAAATCCGCGAGCTTCGGGTCTTTTTCGACGAACTGAGTGATGCAGTACGACAGCTGCTCGTGGTACAGCCACAGGTACTTAGTCTTGTGCAGCGGAACAAGCGCGCGGACCAGGGACACCTTATGCTCCTCCTTAAGCGGCAGCGCGAATCCGTTGATAATGCTCCCTAGAATCTCCAGAAGCTGCGCGATGCCGTTATGCCGATCCGACTCGATAAATTGGGAGATAATCATGTTGCTGATCTCTTTGCGGATGAACGGCCGGTGAACCATGAACTTGTCGTAAATCCGGTGCAGACTAGTCTTCACGCACTCCCGCTCGCGAGGGTCCTCCGAGTCGAACAGGTTCAGCAGCTTTAAGATGAACTTCTGGTCGATGTAGCGCTTCGCGACATTCCTGTCAGTCTCGTTAGAGATGACATACCAAAGAAATATCTCGTAGACTATTTGCAGGTGCGGCCACGCAGCTTCCGTAGTAGGCTCTTCCTCCTCCGGGTCGAATGATTCCAACCCGGACATCTTGTGCGCAGACGGCGGTAACGGCCGGAAGAGATTAATCTCCAACATTTGCTTGATGCCTTCGAATACCAAAGCGTTGAATTTCCCGGTTCCAGATTTAAGGTAGTCGACTAGCTCGAGCAGAGTTTGTCGCTTAATTTCCTTCTCCTTCAGGTTTGTCATTGGGTCGTTAAAATCGAACAGGTAAGTACAGAGGCGAAGCTTCCGGAAAATTATTAGTGCCTGCTGCTCCTGCGCACCCACGTCTGATAACAGCGGCAGTGGCTCCGCGAAAGGATTCGCGATCTCTTCGTTCGGGTCGCGACGAGCAGGAGCGGTTGGATTCGCGACGCCTGGATGCTGATGCGGGCTTTCCACAGCGTCCGCTCCCCCCCAAGCGGCGATTGCCTCGACTGCTGATGCATTGTGCGAAGCTGTCCCCTGCTTTTCCCGACCTTTTAAAAACGACTTTTTAAATGACTGAAGCATGCTCCTGCGCGTGGAACCCTAATCGACACGAAATCGCGAACACCGTTTGGTTTTAGTCAAGCAGCAAAGAGCAATCCCCTGAGCAAGGAGATGGGACGACCCCTCGCCAAGCTTTGGGCTCCTAACATAGTCTGTTGCACCACAGCGCTTCGGCTACGGAATTGTGAATCAGGCTCGCAAGGCGCGTTCATGGCTCGAGTCAAATGTAGGTCAGCCCAATTCGGGTGTCTGAGCAGGTCGAATTATTGGTGTTGAAAGCTGTATGTGGATTTCACTGCGGTGGAATCAGCGAACCTGCGATTGTTCGTGCAAAATTTCTAGAGGTGCCGCGTAGCTTCGATTCGGAAGACACGATGTCTGACGAGATTGTTTGACTTGTTACTTCGGGTTCTGTTGATGAGCAGAAGTATGACAAATCAGGAACACGCCCTGATCCTGGTTTGGGAAACCATGAATTATTTCAGGTGAGCTCCCAGGGTGCAAATGGAAAGGGTTTTGACGCACTGTTACTGATCTTATTTGCTCCCCACGCAAATCAAAACTGCGTTGAAAGGAGCTAACTCTGCGGGAAATTATACAGGCAGTCACAATTTCCAGCATTTTATCACGTTCGGTCATACGGGTATCACGAACAGTCACAGTACAGTAACTTTCTATCGCGGGTGATCAAAGTGCTATCACGGATGGTCACACCTTGCCCCGAAAAGCTATCACGTTTGGTCACTCGATGAAACGAGCATAATTAATTTGAAACCACAAATGAAACTGTTGCGATTTGGGGGAATCCCAATCTCGATTGCTTGCTACCCTCGCGCATGATTCTAGCCTGACATTTAGGGGGCTGAAGAAAAAACAAAAACCCTAAATGATGGCATGCCCTTCGGGAGGCATCAACCCTTAACACCTTGCGACAAGGTGTTTAGGGTTGATGCCTCCCGAAGGAAATCCCATCCGAACGGGTTTTAGTTTTATTCTCGGGAAGCAGAAATAACCTTCAAGTTCTACCCGTTAAAAGTGATATTATTAGGGTCATTATATATTAATCAAACTGTGGACAATCCAACAGTGAACAATGCGGAACGAGCTAACTTTCTAATGTTGCCAGATATTTTTGCGAGTTAACGAGGATTGTCGCGAAAATATTTCGTAACAAAAAACGTCTCGCAACACTACGGACAAAATGGCGCACGCGCTAAATTTTTGCCTGAATCCCAGCAGTGACTCGAGTAGTTACATTTTTTTATTTGGCGTTTCATCTGTGACCAAACGTGATAGACTTGTGGGGCAAGCTGTGACTATCCGTGATAGCACTGTGATCACACGCGTTAGTTACGTAGTGTACTGTGACTGTTCGTGATACCCCCGTGACCAAACGTGATATACCAGGCCTAATTGTGACTATCCATATAATTTCCCTAACTCTGCGTTGTGGGCGAAAACTGGGCAGTAACAGTGCACCAGGAGCGCTGTAGTTGCGCTGGGAGCGAATAAGTTCAGTAACAGTGCGTGCTCAACTAAAAACCCAAATGGAAACTTTCTGGTTAGGGCGTGCTACTCAGGGCCCGCGGCCCAGCCCGCAGACCAGGACGGACCAGCTGTGAGCAAGCTCGCGGACCAGAAAGTACAGAAAGTGGTTACCAAGTAACACCCACCTGGGCCGCTCTAGTCCGATCCAATATGCTGGTCCGCCAGGCAGATTTTCAAGGTTTGATTTGGCCCGTTAGACCAGCCCGCGAGATTTGTGTGGGACATGTTTCGGGCCTGGCCCGTCGGACCAGCCTGACTCAGCGGACCAGGAGCTACACGGACCCTGAGTAGCATGCCCTTAGCATGTTGACGCCTTGGGTTGGTGGCGGGAAATCGAGTTTTCTGATGCTCGGCTTGGGTGTTAGGGCGCGTAAAAAAAGTAAGTTGAATGCGGTTTGAAAAGGTTTAGGCTTGACCCAAAGCGTTCTATTAAAAACAAAAAAAGGTTGGGTAGGATTTTCGCGAATACACGCAAAGTTTGACCCGTCCCAAGGGTGATTCATGAATTCGCACCTAACAAAAAGGGCTTATAAAAGACAATGTAACGCATCGTTGTCTTTTACTTCGGTCTTTTTGGTCAAACTTTGATTTCTGTGGTTAATATTGGTTCGAATCACTACAACTTGCTCAAACGGCTTGTAAATAGGTGCAACTCATAGCACAAAACCCACAGGTGCAAGGTTTTTATCCGATGCAGGACAAAATCGTGTGCAGGGGGGGCGCATCATGTGTAGCACATTTTGTTTCACGCTACTTCAATTTCCTAATACACCAGGTATTCGTTACCGTTTGCTATTTTGTACTGGACGGATGTGATTGTACTATTTGCTTGTTTCTGCTACGTGTCTGTTCCGTTACAAGCCCCTTTGCCGAGCGACACAACTAAAAGTGACCGTAAGCACAACGTCAATAATCATATTCAGATTTTTGCTCGTCTCTAGCAATGAACTTGGCACAGTCTCCGACCCTGCTAACTAGTAGGTGAGCTCCCACGGTAGAAAGGATAATGTGGAAGCCAACTTCTTGTGTACCATTGAGTAACAAACTGCGCATTGGTCTTAATTATTATATACGATTTATGTGACACAAACATGTTACGAGCCTATCGTGGGAGCCCAATAGAGTGCAACAAATAACATGGTGTATATTTCACTCGATAGCATCGTCTTGCCTTTGCTAACAGCGGGCTCCGAGCAGGGCTCTCGATTCTGTTGAAAGGAGCCCTGCATGTGCATGTTCGAAACTTGGAGCTCCCGCATAGGCTGGACCTAGGAGCCTGCACGAGGTGGAAAACGGCAATTTTCATGTGCATGCAACTTAGTGGGGAAAAGCTGCTCAGGTGCATGCTATCCCATCGTGTCTCCCCCTGTTGCCACTGTTTGTACCCATCCGCCAATAAAAAGACTGTTCTGTGAGGGGATGCACCCACGCGACTGACACCAACAAACGCAGCTCTCGCACGAACTCGTCGTCCAACCACACCAGTCGCAGCCTTTCCGCGCGCCAAACCTGGAAGGCATGCAAGTGCAAATCCGTGTGCAATTCATTCCCCCCCCCCCCCCTTCCCCCCTCTATCCAACAAGTGCTGGGTACTGGGATCACCTACCCTACTGCACCCAAGGAGCACAGAACATACCACGGAAACCCTAATCCTACATTTATGGATAGAACACATAAGAGACCCTATTAAGACCATCGTGGCAGGAAATTACACTACTATGTCCAAACTTAGATAGTTAATTTACGATGACAGTTATATATCGTATGATTCAGCTGGTGTTCAACATTTGTGGTGTGCTATCATAAAGGACTCGCCAGCGTTACTGTTCATGGTAAGTTCCTATTGGCTTGGTTAGCTAGTAATTATGTTCTCTATGAACGTGGCACTCATTCCCACCGTCACGTGACTCAGTAATGCTGGAAAATTAGGCCGATCGCATCAACCCAACGAAGCCATGATTTTAATGTTGAAGATTGTGTGTGGTAGATTGTTGAATCAACAAGATCAAGTCTCCCGAACATGTAGGGAACTCGAAATTTCAGTTTATGGTAATGAAATCGTAACTAGTGAACAACTAAAGAGTGACCGTCAGTGCGCGACCGTTCATCCTATGAGTATGTACATTCCTCTATCTTATTTCTTGTGTGTTCATTCCCTCCCCCACCTTCCTTCCATCCCATTGCTCTTGCAGATGGATAGTGATGGTAAACACACATTGTATTTTGAAATCGGTAAGCGCTATCGCAACGCCATTGAGGCTCGGGATGACGTTGAGTGCCAATGCCATCCAATACGGGTGCCATACGTCTTCGCTATCAATGGTCCACAAAGGTTAGATGTCAAGTGTCCGTCGGTTTTTAAGCGGGCAGTCAGGGGGTGTTCAACAAATGACATTTGCTGCCCTTTCAAGATTAACATTCGGGCCACTAGCGTGGGCGACCAGCATGTTGCTAACACTCACTTAGAACACCATACCCGTTGTACCGCTCGCCCTCGCCCTGCACGTAGGAAAAGCCTTATCGCACTAGCAATGTCACAACCAAAAGTTGGCATCACCCCAAAGGTTTTACAAACTGAAGCCATGCATCCAAAGGCTTCGTATGCCACAGTGTGGCATGCCTTGAACGACCTGAAGGAGAATGACCCTTTGCAAACTGAGAAATCATATCAGTTTGTCAAGAGCATCATGGAGAGACTAGTGGATAACAACCCTGGAACTTTGGTTACCCTTAGCAAGCATGCAGGTCGGTTTTTTATTGCCTCTGTGATTCCAAGTGTTGCGAGATCCACCATGTTGAACGCCATACCTATCTTAATTGTGGATGGCTGTCACAATAAGATAGTGTGGGGAGATCACACTATCAATCTGGTAGTGCTTGACGGGGATGGTCATTACGTGTCAGTTGGCACTGCTTTTGTCGAGTCTGAGAGTAAAGAGGGCTGCTCTTTACCATTGAAGGAGCTACTTCGTGTCTTCCAAGAGCTGAACACACCGGCATGGACAGTGAAACACGACTGTGCAAAACGATGGGATGCTGCATGTCGAGATGTGCTCCCCAATGCACATGTCTCCTATTGCGTGACACACCTGACACGCAATTTCAGGGCCAAGTTTGGCATGGACTTGAGCCAACTCATCCGAGACGCCTCAGAGACATTGACGGAGCAACTGTATGAGTTTCGGATGAACAAACTCAATGAGCAATGTCCCGGTGGCCAATTATATTTGGAAGGGGAAGACGGCCAGCTGGCCACGCGATGGGCAACTACAAAGTTTCCTGGTGCTAGGTTCGGTTGCCTCACGTCAAATCCTGTTGAATCCCAGCATGCCTCCATGCCACAGCTGCGAAACAAGGCAATTTGCTATGTCATTTTGAGTTGGGCGCTGAAACTTGCACTCATACGGAGTGAACAGCTTAAGGCATACTCCAACACCGCAGGGGAGTGGAGCACAACTGCATCTGAGGTTGTG